TACCGCTTTGTTAACCCTGAGCCACACTCGGGAATAACAATGGAAACGCGCTGAAATATGCCCCAAAGAAGCTCCTGTACTTGTTTGGCCGTAGGGCGTTTTTCGGCACATTTCCACGGGCTGAAATACGCCCAGGTGGGAACCATGCCCATAGGAAAGTATGGGATTTCACTTGCTGAGCGTTTTTCTTCGCTTCGATTAGCGCTGTAAAACGCCCAGGTGTGGACCCAGCCTTAAGGTGCCCACACACCTTGCGATAATCGTACAATAATCGCGGGAAATAAAGTGATCGTACGATTATCGTAAGGTGTGTGGAAGCTGTGCGACCTCTACTACTGTAAGGTCGCACGACTTTTATCTTAGGAACATCGTACGATGTTCGGCGGGTGTGTAGCATGTTCGTAAGATAAAAGCCGGACGGGCCGGTGTGCGTAAGCGCACACTGCCCGTTCGGCATTGCGGTCATCGGAAGCCCTCCCCTCAGGGGGCGTGGCTTGCTAACATCGCAAGTACGATCTGTCTGTCCAAGATAGGCAGATCGTACGTTTTTTTTATTACCTTACACCCATCGCAAGACTTTTGTCTTGCGATGGTTGTAAGGTGTGTGCCCAGCCTTAACTTTGTCTCAATGTACATAAAAACGTCCTTTTGATTGTGGTGAAAACAGGAAACCATTCAATGTGGATTAAGCCCAAACAACTATAAACCAGGATTTTGAGGATTTCTACAAATTACACCTAAAACTAATAATGTAAAGACCTTAAATAATTAACAGCTTTACATAATTGGGTGAAGGTCTTTGTCCCAAAGAAGTGTTTTTAGGATCAAAGTTGTTTTGGATTTGTTGTGCTATCTCCAGTGTCCTGATGTCTGGAAGATAAACTGAACAGTTGGGGGTAAAGCAAAGAACACACTGATCAAATCTATTATTAACAGTGCTAGGGCCACCACTATGAAGCTCACAATGCAGTGGCGTAGTTAGGGTAGGTTGGTGGGTGCGATCTGCCCTGAGCACAGCCAAGTGAAGGATGCCACCGGCAAAGCAGGAAGGTAGATTGATATTGGAGCCATATTGGATATGATTGTCCATTTGTAGCCCATGAGCCGTCAGCACTGATATTTATTTATTTGTATTTATTGTTTTTTATTTATTATAGGAGTTTATATAGCGCCAAAGTTTTATGCAGTGCTTTTCATACTGCCCATTCACATCAGTCCCTGCCCCTAAGGATTACAATTTAAGGTCTCTATCTCATATACATAGAGGGACAGTTTAGACCGGAGCCAATTAACCTTCCAGCATGACTTTGGAGTGTGGGAGGAAACCGGAGTAACCGGAGGAAGCACAGGGAGAACATGTATCCTCCTTGCCTTACATACATAAAAGCTACCCTACTTAGAGGACCATATTATTATACAGGATTTATATAGCTAGGGTTGCCACCTGTCCGGGATAGGACAGTCCGGGTTTTGAATGCTGTGTCCGGGTTTCATGGCAGCAGAAACCCGGACACAAGATGTCAGGCAGACAGGGGCAACCAAAATTAAGATAGGGGCTGCTAACCCCCCCCCCACCAATGAAAATAGTCTCAACTGTGATATTTACACCCGAATGAGTTGCGCTTTTTACATATGAATAAGCCACGACTCATTCTCCCAAAAAAATGTCCGTGCATCGCTAGAGTGTTTGGGTTTCTCTTGCAGAAAAGGTGGCAACCTTATATATAGCGCCAACAGTTTGTGCAGCGCTTTACAATATAAGGAAGACATTACAATCACAATACAATTCAAGACAAGATGGTAAGGAGGGCCAGGGGTGATTCTGATGGAGGTATGCCCCAGAAACGCGTAAATCCAGCCTAAAGGCAGCCGGGGGCACGATGGTATGGTGATGTGACCGGAGGCAGCTTTTCATACGCAGTCGGAGCGGAACACTCCATAGACACTGATCTTGAAATAAAAAAATATTTCACACAAGGAGGTGGCGCTTTGTTGCTTTTGTCTTTTAGTTATAAATAGACCCTTAAGTGTTATCCCAATTTGGCTATAAAAATGCCCTTTAAACATTTAACCTAAACCCTTAAGTATATGTGAGCTCCTTACTCAATTACTAAAACATGTCAATGCAAATTTTAAAAGTTGCTTTCAAGATTTTTAAATCTGCACCATTCATGAAAATAATACAGCAATTGTTCAGGCGCTTCTTCAAACTCATGTTCCCTTTGGAGAGCTCTAGCTCAGAATGGGGTGTGTTGGACCTCTCCAGTAAGACCTCTGCTTCCACACAGAGAGCAAGGGTACTTCCCTCCAGCATGCTGGCAGGG